CGTCGTAGGTAATGATAATAACTAGTGAACTCGCAAACGTCATATACAGCACATATAATTATTAATACTATTATTATTATAGTTTATTATAATATTATATTATACCGAAACGGAATATCGTTTAAAAGATAAAAATCAAAACACACGTGTTCGTTGCTCCTTTACGCATTTTCGACTCGCGTATACTATATATATACTCTGCACACAAATTTCTGCGCTCGAGTGGAACACTAGCCTCGAGGTGAGGTGGGGGGATAATATTATGTCCGATAGTAGTATGATGTTATTGCCCATATAATATTATAATATTATATCGTTATTGACTTTGTCCTAGTTGTATGAATATTTCAATATCGAAATGCGTTTAATCCGATTGCGCCAGAAGTACCGCATAAGTCCCGCATTATTATTGTTATACATAATCATCGTGGTTGGTCGATAACGAAATCGTTTGGGACGTATAAGGAAGTATCAGCTTGTTGTTTTTGGCATACGTGTTTGTATTTGTTTATTGATAGATTCATTTTTTTCATCATAAACCACATATTCGCAACTATACAAATCCCGGTGTTATTGGAAATCACGCACGTGTTATTTGTTTTCATTGTTTTATGGACAAGTTTTCAATGTTGAATTATTATTGATTATGTACTTGCCACACGACGTCGTGCAACAAAATTGCCGAGAGTCAAAAAAGGCACTGGTAGGCGGCGACAGACATTATTAAAACTGCATGCTATTCGTTTTAGGACTCTTCTGAACAATACTGGTTTATAGTAGGTATAGGTCCAATAGGTGCATACTCACAGCCTTTTCCCCTTTAACAATGTACAGTTTTTCAAAATCCGGTTTTGAAATTTTTAAGTGTACTTACTTAAAGATGTCTTAAGATTATTGAGATTTTTGTGTACTAGGTAGGCTAGGTTAGATAACTTTTATATTACTATTATAATTGGTAAAAATATGGCATGAAATATGTATTCATTATTTATAAAAGAAAACAAATTATTGCACTGGCAACTTCAGGCTGGACAGCTATAGTTATATAATAATATATATAATTAATTAAATATACATAATTAAATTATAACTATAATTATAGTTGGAGTTCAAACTGAACCACCTATTTAAGAAAAGATGTAAGTCTATAAAAGGTAATTCTGAGAAAACAAGAAAAATTCTTTTTACATTTCCAGTGATACATGTTTATTTCTCTTTCATACTGATTATTTACACTGGTAAAATTAAATATTTTTTTTGCAAATGTTCACACATGATCCGTCTATCATTTGATAACACATTTCACTCAATATCTAAATTTGCGATATTTTGTGACTTACTCAAATAGGTGGTTCTACTTATATAGTTTAAATAAATATATTATAAATTTAGACCGGGGTTAGTTATGCCAATTTTTGAATTATTTTCCAAGCTAAAATAAATAAATAAATAATTAATTAACTATCTATACACCGGCTTCACTAAAAACGCAAATAAGTACCTATGTATCGCAAAACATCCAATGAGAGGATTTTCGTTGGCCACTACTGCATAAAATAGGAAATATATACACGTGTTTAACTGTTGAAGCGGAAGTTCAAGGATTCGTGTTTTGAATCAATTATCAGATAGAGCTTGTTTTCAAGGTTACATGATAATATAGTAAAACGCTGGCTTAACAAATTCCAATTTGTTATCTGTGTCTGACGTAGGTATCAGTAAAATAAGTATAGAATAAGCCATACGGTTTTTTGTTTATTTTCCATGTCAATTGAGTCAAAACATAATATTGTAAATATTGATCAATGATCTGCTGTCTAAAGATCAGAACTCTGCTATAACACTAGCTGTCCCACCCGAGATTACAAGTACCAAATTTTTGTTTTTTTTTATTTATAAATATGCATTATTTTATATTTTTACTAATTATAATTATAATAAAATAATATGTAACCTGCAATGGTAACAATCTAATCAAAAAAAACAAATTCGTTTTAAGTGATTTGAAATAATGCACGTGTGAGTTACCCTTAGCTACCTATAGAGTTATAGAGGTTGAAAAAAAGTTACAAACACCATCCAAGTCTGAAAGAATCTATTGATCTTTCATTGAAAACGGTCCAGTAATTTTTGAGCCTATTGATTATTACTGACAGACATAAATTTGTATAATATGCATATATTGGTATTATTATAATATTATCTCCCAGTTGAAATTTTAATTTTAATGAGACATTAAGGTGTAATTTTAATAATAAATTATTTTGATTAGCTATAAAATTGAAATAACTATCCAACGATTTCATAATTACAAAGATCATAGATAAAGCTTTATTTTAAATTATTAAAAATAACTGATGTTAAATGTACGTTAAGTAATTTAAGGAAATTTCGTGGATGGGGTGTGAAAGCCTTTTATCCTCCCCGCGTGTACAGCCTAGGAAATATTACAATATCAATAAAAACCTTATACCTTATCATACACATTAAAGTTAAGAATGTTATCGCTAGGGCATCTTATAAGTTTAATTGATATTTCAATTTTAAAGCGATACCTAGTTACGATTAAGCCGGGCAAGCAGTATTATTTAAAATATTTAATTGACCATCGGCCATTATAGCAGTGTGTGGAAGAATTCTGATAATTGAATAGTATGATCACTAGTTGTTGTTTTTATAAACGTTAATTAAAAAAAAAATTTACAAAAAATAAAGCCCCCTCCCCCCAAGAAAAGAAAAAGACCTCAAGAATTATAAATAAACCTAAATAAAACATCTTAAAGTGCAAAAATATTTTAAAATACAAAATTAGCAACATAAAAAAAGAGATTTAGCTTTTTAGTATAAGTAATATGAAGCAAATTTGTTAAATAAAATTACGATTGCGCAAAACAAATAAGTACTCAAATTCTAGAATCTTAGCGCTGATCTGGTTACATGGGCATTTAAAAATTGTTATATTTTACATTATTTTTAAACCTCACTTTTATTATGATATCAATAAATACCCAAGAGATGTCCTTTGTATTAAACTTACCTTTAAATGTTTAATAGGTCAATTCACTCAATAATATTAAAGCTAACGACACAAAATCAGTACTGCTATATTTGTAAGACTGAAACAACGAATCATGTGGGTGTGACGTTTTCATGAAATTATGATTTCATAATAAAATTCTCAGATTTGACTTATTTTCAAATTTTTCTGGTCGACACATTGCGTGCCGAGTAAGCACAAAAATGAAAAATCGTCTATGTCATCGCAATAAATGTACAAAATGTTTTAATGTTAATTTGTTTTTATTAAAGAAGGCCTAACCTAACCTAATCAATGTGACCCATGTGGGTGGAGTAAATATTTAATTTTTCAAGTTAAGTGTTACTGGCACAATTGATGGGAAGGAAAATGTACACCGTATATGCACTGCAGACTAGCATAATACACATAATGACAATAATATTATATTATCAAGTTTCGTTTTTATTTTGTCGAATTAAAAGCTTGGGGTCGGTGTTATCGCTATGTCGCATGATGTAATGCCAAGCGACATAGAAAACGTACTTTATAATTATAGTCTGATTTGTGGACATTGACAGTAAGATGACTATTCACAAGTTTATAATACGAATATTAAATTCTTCTGCTTCTTCTACTGCGATATTTGTGAGGGCCTCGTGGCAGTTAAACACAAAACACAATTGTATAATGTTATGGAGGAGGAGGAGGGGTCTATACATACCAAAATATGTCTAATATTGGTTATACTGAAAAACATCCGAAACTTCATCTTTTAACTTCCGTAGACCTCGACCAGAGTACCAAATAATGATTTTAATTTAATGAAAATAGTAAAAAAAATTTTTTTCACAGGGAAGCGATTAGTAGTTGTAGTATAAATATTGTAGTTGTATATATATGTTATTAAATTATTGAGTTGATTTACATATTAATAATGAAATATATATAAATTACAATGCATACAGCTGAAGAATATCAGCAATCTTCAACCACGTGTTATTCGGTACTTATGGTTATGAGTAAAGAGAAATATTTTTAGTGCACAGAATATTATGATGGGCAATGATAACATGTTACGGGCAAAGTGTACAACAATATTACACTTTGCCCAATATTCCTAATAACGCAATAATTTACATAGAATAATGTATATTATAATAATATGTTGTTGAGAAATTACACTTATGACCATTATTTAATATATTTTAACATTATTTTATATTTTTATATTTTTTAGCAAATTATTAAATACTTACATTATATAAAAATTTAAATGTGTACGTTAAATATAACCTAGCCGTCCTTAAATAATGACAAGGCGGCCTATGGGTTGATGACCTATGTACTACATCATTATAATATGAAAGGCATGGATTTTGTATGATAAGGTATTGATAATATTTTCATAAGTATTTAAAACTTGTTCTAATTTTAATGAGATTAAAAAAATGTTATGTACATAGTTGTATTGATATTTGAACAATTTTTTGAAATATTTATTCATCGTCACGATTAAATAAAGTATGTAGAGTTATATCGAACAAAATTGGTCCAAATTATACTTAGATTGTAACCAAAGCAATTTAGAATATTGAAAATGGGTACTTAAGTCTTATTTGTTTGAGGTAAAGCGGATACTCGATTATAATGACATGAATATGTTATGAGTTATAACAACTTATATTTCATAAAAATTTCAATAAAGTTTTGATTTTAAGTTTAATAGAAGATTTCTTTATTAAGTTATGAAAAAAAAACTTAGATATTATACTATATATGTACCACTAACAATTGTTAAGATAGTTATTACTTAACTAATCCAATTTATATTATATTATATATTTATTTGTATATATTGACTTTGAGTGAGTTTACATATAAAAATATTAGAAAAGGTGGTTTGTAATTATAAAAGCAATTATAATTAATGATTACACCTACTTAAGTTATAATAAATAATAATTATAAAATCTGACTCTACTTACCTCTTTTGGGTACAATAACTATTCTGTAGAAGGTTCGGGAAAGCCGCTTCCACTACACCCTAAGGACTAAATGTCAGAATCGTTTCGGGCAGGTACTATTCTGCAGCAGTTTATACTAGTCACCTGACAAGTCTTTTTTCCTAAGGGAATTCATAGTAAAAAACAATTATTATTAGTACATTACTATGCAATAATTTATTGATTTAAGTTACACTTTGCTAATTGAACATCAATTTTAAGATTAAACATGACCAATGGAGCCAACAATCTTTGAAAATATTGGTCTGATATAATAATAAAGTAAAAAAACCTATCGTTTCATAATTATTACTTAAATCATAAAATAATATTCATAACAAAAAATACGAATGTGCGTATACATATGTGCTTCAATAAAATGTATGAACGGTGGCAGGAGGGTATGAGAATCAAAAGCTATTTAAGCGATAATTAATCCTAAGAACATCTTTGACAACGTTTTGAGCATGTATTTGCTTGATCTTTAAAAAAGAAATAAAAACAAGTTTTTGAACGGCCACGGTGCATTAATACATTCAAATCTTACGACGAGACACGTTGACAGGGTGAAGTAGAGTGTCGGTTCAGGGTGCAATTGAACAGCAGGGACAGGCTCATGCAATTTAGTGCAAATGCAGATGGCACGTGTAATTGGCCACCAAAGCTAAGTAATTTTTTTTATTCCTGTCTTTATATCTTATAAAAGTATATTAACTTGAAAAAAAAATTATTAAATATATTTGGAGTAATGGTTAGGAACGATAATAGCATTAGTATAGTAAGCTTATAACACTGATAGTTTGTTTTTATCCAGCTAATAAAAATTGATGAAAAGAAAATCACATTTTTTATGTATAAATTAAAACAACGTTGTCAGCAGAAAGCTATACCTATGTCTTATAATTAAATTGATAATTTCTTCAACGCCTATACTTAATTCTATTAGTTTTATGTTCTTAAAATCATGTTTTCATGAATAATTTATTATTATGATGTCGAGCCAATATTCTAGCAAAGCTATGCAAATAAAATTAAAATATCAATTGGCTGAGTCATTGAACACATTTTCAGATTTTATTTTAAATTGGGAACCTACCTAAATCATATAATTAATTAAAGTTTCGACTTTCAATAATAGTACCTATACATTTTTAAAACAATTAAGCATCAAATATTGAATGCTTGCAGAGTTATGCGCATAACCCAATAATGATTGAAATGCAACAATATGCGTACCTAAGTACTTTATACCATTCACACTGAATTTTACTGTTTACATCATCGTCATTGTTGTTAACATTTTGATGATTTTTCCCTATTCACACAATTAACTTGGTACAATATATTTTATTGTATTTATGAATGCTAAACAATATATTTGCTGTAAAAATGTGCCCAATTTAAATATTATGTATATGGCGTCATGGCGAGTAATATGTAATTTATTAATTTTTTTTTTAAGTTGTTAAATTTAATTATAATATTAAACATTTAAATTTTATAGATACAGCTTGTGTAAGTCAATATAAAGAATTGATATTTGTTTATATGGACAAAAATTACCAATTAGAAACAAGGTTGTAATAATCATTCTTCGATCTTGAATATATCCCATTTTTTGAAGTTGAGGATGCTTTTCTTGAACTAATGCATGGCTACGTGTCCAAACGAAAAATATAGTCACATATTTTCAGACTTTGTATTAAAAACATATATTGAACCGGAATGGTCCGTGTTCTCCAGAAATGTGGTCTCAAGAACCAATCAGGAATCCTTGGTGAGCAATTTATGTCTAATATACAATTTTTATTGTTTATGTATATACATTTTACTATTTTAGTACCACATTTATTAGAATTAAAAATATTATGAGTATTAAATCCATACAAATTTAATTCAATATTTAAAAGTAGTAGATTATAGTTGCCAAAGAATTCAAATTTAGACTTTTTAAGATAATTTATTTTTTAACGATTATTTCGCTAAATTAAACGGACAATTTTACTTATTATTTTTTAATTAATATTTCATATTAATCATCATAGTATCAATCATCTATCACAGTAATAATATATAATTTTGTAGTCGAGACAAAAATAATTGTACTGGGTATTTATTAGGTGAATGGTACAATTCATACATTTTACAAGTTTGCATATAATTTCGTACGCAATAGTGTGGATTTTTTTTAAAGGTATTCTTTAATCAACCCATAAAGATATGCAACCGTGTTGTCAAAAAGGTCAAACGAACTCAATCGTGTTCTACTTGTTGAGGGTTATGAACGGCGTTGAAAAGCTCTGGGGGGGGGGGAATTTGCTTGTAGAGAGTATTTACTAAATTAAGTAGGTATATGGACCGGATTTTGCACTATGGTTCTAGTTTTAATTAACCAGGACCTGAGGGGGGGAGGGGGAGCTCGGATATCTGCACATTGAAATATCATGTGAAATGATAACGAATCCACGGCAGACTAATGTATACGTCTTATAATGAATAAATACGTCATGTGCACGTAGACGGTCGACTAAGTCTAGCATCGGTGCTGTCGGTGGCTGCGTTTTTTATAATCTTCTTTATATATAAAAATAATTATGTGTTTGTCCGAACTCGCTAATCTCAGGAACCACGTATCTAATTGGCATGCCACAAAATTCTTCTCGAGCTTAGTTGTTCAACCTATATAAGTTGCTATTTGCTATAATAAGGTGGCTGACACTGGAGTTTTATTTTGGATCACGAAAATCAAATATTTTTTTATGTTTCAAAACATCATTTTGGAAAACTTTACATTCCCGTTGTGCCCATCAGTCGGATAGCCTCCAGTACACAGTTACGACTATTGATATTGAGTTATCATATGTATTTATTGGCCTTAGTTACACAGACACATAATTATAATTGACATTAGATAATTCTTTTTAGATTGTACATTATATGGAATCATAATTTATCGCATTATATAGAAATATGTTATGAACCTCGAATTTAACACGATCTCAGAGTTAGCTTTCCTAACTTCTTTGTTTATACACTGCAGACTGCAGTATTGTCATTGCATGGATACAGAAATAAAAGAGACTTTATAAAATATATATATATATATATATATGTGTGTATAAAATAAATGGATGTTTTGTAGATCTTATACTTGAAAAGTCTTCGACCGATTTTTACGAACATTTCAGACATTATTTTTAGATATATCAGAAAAGTTTAGAGACTAGTAGAATATATCATCCAATCTATCACTGGTGTTGCCCATCTTGGTTGAACTATAGTCCACAATACGAGCACACTGACGAAGATTTGCCTGTTAGGTTATGTTGACCTAACCAAAACCGAGATACACATACCTTCACGTATATATTATAATAGCTCCGTCTTTCATATTTTTTTCTCTAATTCGAGTTATAAAAATAGCAGAATATTATATTATAGTATAATTTATTAGCCACCTGCGTTCGCAGAGACGAGTCGCATTTTGAACGGAGATATTAGGCACCTATATCATCTGCGGGGCCCCGCAGCGTATATATTATAATACGAAATAACGAGCAGCGATTGTTCCGGCACGTGCTCGGAAAACAGACGATGGTTTCGAGTACGTATCGATGATATGCGATAGGTATAATATTATTAATATCCGAACATCGCCGGACGCGTATTTGGAGTGTGTTGTGCGCTTGTATTCAAGGGACGGACTGCTGCCGTTGTCCGAAAATTTCGATCGCTACCTGCCCTCCCTACACGGACATCCCGTCAAGTGGTTTCGGGGGCCTCATCCACCGGTTCATCATCATAATCATTATATCACAATAATAATAATTATTATTATACTATCGTTATTATTGCCTCACGTAGGATTCCTCGACCGGACACCCACCGCGACCGCCTCCTATCCGTGTGTCCCGCTGTTATATATTATATTGCAAGCATGACCATAATATTGTACAATACTCCACCCTTACCGAGCAATCAGTCTGTTTCAGTTTCACGAACACAAAACTGTTGACCGTTACTATATATTATATGTATTATTATTGTAAGCTATCGTATTTTTTGATTTTACTACTTATACGTATCAAATATAGCTGCCTGAACTTGTGGTACGAGATGAAAATAAATTGATTGAAAAATCTACTACCCCTCACCCCCCCCCCCTTTCCCGTCACAAAAATCTCACCTATTATGTAATAGTGTACGCTGCACAGCAGGTTCCAAGTATGTGGTAGTAAATGCGTAGGTTGGTCGTTTTGGCAATTCGATGGACAACTTATACATGTGAATAGCGACTTTAAAGGGACGAACGACAAAATGTCACAGGAATCAAATTACGTCAAGAACATATAAAAATGACTGATTTTTTTTTATTTTGAATATCGTTATAATCTTCATTGTTGAGTGTACGCAATTTGGTAGCAGGGAAAATAAAAACGATTCATTTAAACATCACGAGTTCACAGGAAACAAGTATTTATTTTTTGCATATTTGAGAAATTGAGAATAATATTTCAAGAGTTAGGCAATAATCATCTATAGTATAAGGTATAATATAATAATATGAAACATGTATATTTAATTCACAATTCGAAGTTTTTAAAATATTGTTGGTATTATGCTCTTTATTGAATATAAAATACCGAAAATTCGAATCACAATTCGTACACTGAAATGTGGTTTTTTATGTATATCATTAATTAATTACCTATATAACGTACCTATACATTATGAGATTACTGAAGAGACGTTATGATATGGTAGATATTAATTTTAGTACGTAGAATAAAAATACATACAACCTATTATAAATTATGACACACTATGTAAACACGAAACGACCTTGCAGGCAACTGCCGGTTAAATTGTTATAATATTAATAAACAAATAATTTTATATTTTTAGCTCCGCGGCTTTACTGTATGGGTTTTTGTGTTTTACCACTGATGCGCCTTCTTTATAAGTTGGAAACACAATTATAAAATATCTACAATTTATTACACACAGTAACACATTTTTTTTAAAAAGCGTTTAAAGTTTGAATTTTTACGGAATTCGTCAAAACCACGAAACATTTATTTTGTAATTAAAAATTTAAAGCAATTTAAAAATTGATTACAAA